GTTAAGAATAAGTACGGCTAGACTGCGAGTTTTAAAATACCTGCACTGTCAGTAAGGCACCTTTTGGCTTCATCTCAAATACAAAAATACTTTAGACTTTAGGAATTGCAAAAACTAAAAATTTACAATTCAGTAGGCCTATTTTTTTGCTGTTTGTCAGTGTAGTCATCGTATAAGTACGGCTAGCCCAGCCGTCTAGTCGTCATTAAGTACAGCTAGCTGCTAGACCGTCAGTCTAGCCGTCATTAAGACAGTACGGCTTGCCTCTTTCTTTAAATCCTTTTCATGATAAACTCACATTTTTTGGTTCAAGACATTCTGGCCTTGAGGCTGGAAATCACTGACAATGATTCCCATCTGTCGAGTGTTCTCAATAAACAGCTCAAGCTGTTGTTCTAGGGCTTCGAATTTTTCAGCCATTTTTATCCTGGGGGAGGCAAGCAAGGTGTGGTGTAGATCAAGTGGTATGCGTCCGTTCGATGTCACTTGGCCTTAGGTGTGCTCTCCTCTTCAGTTACATGATCTCAATAATCGGAAAATAGCAATGTCAATCAATATCATTGAATATCAGCAGGGCTTCGAATTTCAATAAATTTGGCCTTCACCGTTGATAAACAAGTCTTCCAGTTCGAGCTCCGGCTCCACTTTAAACTACACTGTTTACATTAATAGTAATAGATCTAGTCTAGAATCTAGATCTAGTAATATAGCTAAGCCCACACAGTACAACAACTGCACATTACTCGTCATTACACATGTCACACATGGGTTCTCCTGATTTGTCGAACTCTAGTTTACTGTCCACAGTTATCTAAAACCTCTGGATTATAGTTTAACGAGAGTAGGGCACATTGACTCGGTTTGGAAGTCAAAACAGATTTTTACTCCACAAAGGAATTAGGAGTTTGAGGACTTTATAAACTGAGACACAGCCTTACGATAGGAACTGAGACAAAGTGGAACTGAACTGAGAGCGTCACAAACATTAAACCGGAAGTGACCTTTTCCTATTACTATTGTCATCGAAGCTTCGAAGCGCGATGTCCTTATTCGTGCTATTCGAATACCGTGTGCGAGTATTTTTTTTCTTGATTCTATACAAGTACATGTACATGAAGGCCGAAGGTGAGGCCTAATACGATGAGTCTATCTGCAGCATTCTTTATTGAATATTCACTATTTTCAGTCACAACACTATTCATCCAGTGATTCTCACAGCTCACTGTGTTTCTGCCTCTCTATGTATAGCACCCATGACGGCCTGCGCATCACGTGCGGTGATAGAACATTTGTTTGTTTGTTTTTAAACAACAAAAAATGTGACTGTTGCAGAGGGGAGGGAGAGGGGGAATGATACAAACAGGCGACCGCTCGTGTCTAGTGTCTGCTTGGGAAAAAAAGGGGGGGGGGGACCAGAGGAAAACTTTTTACCGAGTGAGCGGCGAACGATAGATCTAACACACACGCACTTTCGCTGCGTCGCGCAACACTGCTGTTTGCTCGGTTGTACATGTATTGTCTTTTGGCGTTTGTTTGTTTTTTTGTTTAATTGGCAGCATATTACGTCAATCCTCTCAAATAACTGCCAAACAATAATGCCCGTGCGTTTGCTTGACATGGTACAATTTGATCAAATCACACTAAATTTAACAGCACAGATTTACTTCAAAGACTTCAAGCAATAAATGGTTTAAATGTTCAAGAGAATTCTGTTGGCGGCATAATATGTCTAATAATAACACTATAAGTCATGCATATAATTTTGAACAAATAAAAAACGGAATGCAATTTGCAGTTTTAAGGACAATATGCAATCTCTAAAATTACACTACAATGCAGCGATCAAAGAATCGGCCTGAAATGGACAAAAGCAAGGGAACAGAATGTACTCCAACAATCTGCAATGGAGCCATAAAGTAAGAGAGAGAGCACAGACAATGGAATAGGATTGAGAAAAGGGGCAATGTGAGTATAACAGCAATTTAAGATGTGTAATACGTATTTCAGCCTAGCCAGCCAGCACGGTTTATAATACCCAATTAATCTCTCATTTCATTTGTCCCCACCTGCCACCCCCCCCACCACACCTAGGTATACCCACCCACATATTGTATAAACCTTAGGCCTATGGATCTCCCCACAAGTGGCCACGAATAGGCTATGGTGGGTGGCTGGTTTTTTTAAATTAAAAAAATCAGAAGATGTGTAATACGTATTTTAGCCTAGCCAGCCAGCACGGTTTATAATACCCAATTAATCTCTCATTTCATTTGTCCCCACCTGCCACCCCCCCCACCACACCTAGGTACACCCACCCACATATTGTATAAACCTTAGGCCTATGGATCTCCCCACAAGTGGCCACGAGTAGGCTATGGTGGATGGCTGATTTTTAAAAATTAAAAAAATCAGGGGCGTGGCGTCACTTCCAGAGAAGGTGGCGCCAAGAACAAATTTATCACAACGAATAGTATTGCCTATTTATTACAGGCCTATAAACTGTAGACCTACTATATACGCCTGTTCATTTAATTTTAATACTGATATAGGGATACCTACTTCCATGCGAGAAGAATAGATAAGTGCTGGTACAATCTTTTATATATAGATCGAGAGAGAGAGTTCAGCGCTCAAGATGCGCGTAATCACATCACATCGTAATCACACACAAAACAATAACTTCCAACTGATCAACAGAAAAGCACACATTCACAGTAAAGAACTCGCATGCACTATTGCCCTCGGGGCGTCTTGACATAATGACCCCATTCCCTGATTCCTTGCAGTTCTGGTTTCTAGAAAGCAGACAATAAAACCTATTTTTAGACAGTTCGCAACCATGCCATGTGGCCATGTCCAGGCTAACTACCACTCCATCCCCTTCCAACCATATAGGCACCAAATCCATCTTGGCCCTTTGGCCCAACAGTACAATCTCTTAGTGTGATGGGAGTACCTGTTGTAGTATTAATATTATTAGCTGAGTTATGTTCTTGGTGATATCTCTTTTGTCTTCCGTCAAACGTCTGGGTGGGCTATTAAAGAAACTTTTTTGCTATTCTTGGAAAGAAAACCCTGTTTTCAACTGATTGAATCAAATAGTTTATAGATCATTTTGAATTATTTTGACCAGACGTCACACCTAAACAATGAACACCCAGATGGGTTCAGGCAGAGACACTGGTTCAGGTTGGGCCTAGGCCTTCTCAGAAGCCTGAGAAGGCCTAGGGTTGGGCCGATCTGAGTTCGGCGCCCTCGGTGAAGTCAGACGTACGGAACGAAAGACGCAGGGAGACCCTTGCGACCGGCAACGGGAGGCTTACCCTCTCTCCTCCCACTAGCCTAATTATAGACACCTTAACTAAAGACTGGAGGAATTTATAAGAGATTGGTTTGAAAAAAATATTGTGATATTTTGTTAAGTTTTGGAACATCGTATTCCCTTTTTGAAAAATCCTTTCTCCATTTCAAAGGGTGGCGCCATGGCGCCATTTGCGCTTGGAGAGCCACGCCACTGAAAAAAATCAATATACACGACTGGCTCAAACCCAGCACGACACACCGCGTTTCGATGACATCACAATGCACATAACAACATTCATAACTATGTGCTTCCATAGTCGAATTGTACAAGGGGAGCAAAGTAAGTCTGTCTGCTTAAAAAACAACAAAAGCAACATTCGAAGCGTGCTTCGAAGCGGCAGTGGGTACCCCTACATAATATATAGCCTTGCGCCTCGAATTTTACATTGTCCAAAGGGAGCTAAGTATTCCAGCGTACAACCCCCCCCCCCCCAACAATTTGCAGCGGTTTGAAGCGGTGGTGGGTGCCCATAGCCTTAGCTTCAAGTTTCTTAAGGCGCAAAGGGAGCTAAGTATAATATGGCTAGCCTACCGAACCCCCCCCCCCCAAAAAAAAAAAAAAACACATTCGCCGCGCTTCGAAGCGGTGGTGGGTACCCATATCGCCTTGAGCTTCGAATTATGTCGATTCGTGCAAAGGGAGCTCAGTCTGCCTTGTACGCAAAATCACTCGCTGCACTTCGAAGCGATGGTCTATCGAGTTGTTTTGATGAGAGCCTTTTTAGATACATGTTTTATAACGCCTGCTGGCCCCTCTTTTAATAACTCTGTTCCATAATCATCAACTTGGAAGTAATGTTGAATCTACCTTAGTGAATTTAGATATTTTATTATTCTTTAATTTTATGGAAAGTGGCTATTCTCACCCGCCCGGAAGTTCTCGCAAGATCTACTCCTCCCCTCTTCTCTCTCTCTCTGTCTCTTTCTGAATACTGTCTATCGGTGTGGACGATCAAATTGACCAAAACAAAGTTAAAAAATGATGTTAAAACACAAAAGAAAATTAATTTGGTAGTCTACAAAGATGCTACGGCTATTTAACTTTTCGAATCGAGCCGAACTACGCGGGTCGCCATTTTGTTTTGTCCTCTCTCTCACTCTCTCCACTGCCCACAGACAAAATTGTACGCTTTTAGTAGGCTTCAAGTACAGATGTAATGGAACGTTTGTTCACAGCACAGAATTCTACAATTTTTCTCTTATCACAGTGTAGAATTCTGTGGTTTAGGGTGAACGCAAAATTTGTTGACACGCGCACTGGGTGAGAATAGCCACAAGACCCGCCTGCACTATTCTCACCCCGGGTGAGAATAGAGGTGGCCAATTTTATGACGGGCTGAGAAAAATTAGAAAAAATCCATTTATGGAAGAAAAAAAAAACAGCATTCGAATGGCTCTGCCACACTTCGAATAGATGTGAATAGCACAAAAATCATGAATGTCGAATAGTGAAATCGAATGGGCACAGCTCTAGTGCTCACTGCTCACAGAACATAAAATTCTGTAGGCTAGCCTTCAATGTACTTTATAGTTATAGACTAGCCTAGGCCTTAAAGAGGTTATTCCTGGATGATGTTGCCTTTGTTATTTCAGCCATAACGTTTTGATGTTGTCCAGAACTTTTTCATATGTTCATGGCAAGGCCTAGGCCTAGGACAAGGAGAAAGGCAGTGTACTGATACTGGACCATAATAACAACGGATTCTAATAACAAGGATTATACGAATTTCATGACAAGCGACATTCCACTTCCGGGTCATTGCTGAATGTTTACGTACGTCGTGCTGCTCCCTGTTTCTCTCTGGCCTATCTTTGATGTTGAAGCACTGTGTGTTGAAGTTATCTCTCGAGTCATCTGGATCTAAGACGTTTGCGACTCATTGCTCTTGATGGTAGAAGTAGATATGTGAGATATGTTTATCTGTGTTTTTGAACCTCAACTAAAGGCTAAACTGTGCTGATAGTTTTTCCAACAAAAAATCATGTCACAGTGTTCAAGACTCTTGTTTGTTGCTTTCATTTTCCTTTGGTCAAATGCACTGATTGGCCATTCAGCTGTCGTCGAGGCAGAGGCGGAATCACAAGATGAGCAAGCCTTGAATGTCGAAACTGATAATTTGCAGTCTAGATCTAGACCTATAAGGAATTACTATGGCCGAATGCGGAAGCAGGCTGGCGATAACGCAAACGACCATATCGTGACTACTCCTGCCCCTGTGGTGGAGTCAACACAAAACATTTCAAGGTAAGTTTAGACTACACGTCACTACTACAGTTTAGACTTCTAGATCTAGATCTAGTTCAAGTTCTAGATACTAGATCTAGATCTAGATCTAGATCTATTTCATCTGTCATTACATCTTTCTCTTTCATAATTTCATATTTTTAGCTTTCTGTGTCCATCTCATGTAGATGTAAAATCTAGATCTAGATCTAGGACAGGTCTAGATTCTAGATCTAGATCTAGTCTAGTCTAGATCTAGATATCTAGAATCTAGTTCTAGAATCTAGATCTATTATCTAATCTAGATTCTAGTTTTATACCAAAGTTTTAGAAATTTAGGCGAGATCTAGATTCTAGATCTAGTCATAGTCATAGAGACTCTGGTAAGATTGAAGAATATCAGACCAGCGGATATTAGGACTACTTTTGCCTATGAGACTATGTCTCGACAACCTTAGGAATTCATTATTTTCCCCCAGTTTTTAATCTCTCTTGATGAAGAATCTCAGACCGGTAGCCTAGATTTATTCATTAAACGGAGTGTCTACGCACAAGGCACAAGGTAACCGGGCACCTAGTCTCACCTAGTCTCAGTATCTACGTGACGTACAGGTTAACCGGCCACCTAGGACCTAGGCTCAGTATATACGTACACGGTAACCGGAATGAAAATAAATCAATATTTGTCCTGTGCTGTCACTTGCTGAAATAAAAAAGTCATACAAGCGTCTTGTCGGGCTCACCATCGTGACAGGTCAGTGAACCTGCACATGTGCATCAATTTTTTTTGTGGGTACCGGTTGGGGACAACAAAATTCATTCAAAGTCTGTGCGCTGCGAAGTACGAGGTCTGTCTCAGAATAAAGTTTCCCTCCTCCATAAAACTCAAAGTACGCAACCAACAGTCACTAAAGTTTGTGAGGTCATGACACCATGACTAAGAAGTCTCAACGCCAAATTGCAAGTGCATTGGTGAACGGGTCATAGAACTGTGACGTGTCAAGTGTGGTGTACTTAGATTCTGTACTTTGTCCAAGGCAAATCCGAAGAAAATGGCTAAGCAAAACATTGGTGCAACCTTCTCATGCTACGATGTCTAAGTTGTAATCAAATTTTCAACTCTTCTCAGCAAGTCTGCAGTTGAAACCCATGGTGATCTATACAAACTAACAGGGAATAAATAATGCCCCATCAATTCAATCAGAAAGGAAATGGATCTGGGAGGTTGAAGGTGGGAGGTCTGACATGAAAGATGAAGCGCACACAGAAAACATAGGGAGAGAAAGGTGATGCACATTGGGTTTTTTTCGACATGAGTGGCTTCATACTGAGCTGGCTAGTCACACCTGGCGTAACTGTCAATGGTGGCTACTACAGGTTCGTCCTCAAAGACAAGCTGAGACCTGCGATCCAGAAAAAAAAGACCCGCTTTGCTTGAAGAAGGCGTCATCCTGCATCATGACAACGCGCCTGTTCACAAATCCAGAGTTGTGAACGAGCTTTTTGAGGGCTACTCGTGGGAATCAATGGTGCACCCGCCCTATTCGCCTGATCTCGCCCCATGCAACTTCAACCTCTTCTCCAAGGTGAAAAAAATGCTGCGAGGCCGGTGATTTGAGGACGAGGACCAGATTCAAGAGGCTATGAGAAAGGCACTCGGGACCTTGGACAAACGATCACTGACCACTGTCTTTGACCGCTGGGAACATCCAAAGGAGAAATGTCTTGAACTTGATGGTTCCTACGTTGAATAGGTATTTGAATAAGCTTTCCTTTTATACCAAATACAAGGTGATTTATAATTATATGTGAGGACAGCATGACAGGGAAACTTTATTCTGAGACACACCTCGTATAATGCTCCGGAATGGGGGCATTATTGATATTTTTAAAGGTGCAGTCGGGGGAGGGGTGGGGATGAAGGCCACACCGGATGAAAAAAACTGAACTTGGAGTTCTGAACTGCCCGGTTGCCGGTTACTGTGTACGTAGATATTGAGGCTATACCGGTTACCGTGTATGTGACACTGAGACTACATGCCCGTTTGCCGGTTGCCGTGTACGTAGACACTCCGTTCATTAAAAGTTTGTCGGGGGGGGAGACCCCCCTGAACCCCCCCCCTCCCAACTAATCCCTCCCCCCCCCCATTCTCGCGCAATAATACAAGTGGTCCGGTATTCTTCAATCTTCCCTAGACTCTTAGTAGTTTTAAATTGAAATCTAGATCTAGAGACTTTCAGTACACCTCATTCTTAAAAATCAGTTTACCTTCTACTCTTACAATTGATACAAGCTGTAACAAGGGATACAATTTTTCGGTTTAATTTTTAATGATATGAATTCGGTACAAACAGTTGAGTTTAAATAATTCTTAGCATTTTTTGTCTGTTTAATCCTTTATTAGTTATTTATTAATTCTCTATTTATTTGGAAATGCTATTTCATTGTAAACTTTCAAGATAGATCTATCTTTACAAAATCAAGAGTGGTCTCCCTGTTGTCTTACTTAAAAGTTTAAAAAATTATATTCTTTTTCTTCTTGATCGCATCACACTTGAAGTCTGGTATCTGTCATAAATTGGGCCGTCCTTCTCAGTTCATCTTTCGGCCCGTATAGCTTCTCTTGTAGTGTCAGTGGGGTTGGCCACGTTTCCTGTCTCAGGGCCCTGTATGTCTTGCAGTGCTGAAGGATGTGTTCAACAGTTTGGTCCGCCTCTCCACACTGGCATAAAAAAAAAATTATATTAAATAGGTTAAATTTTAGATTTGTGCCTAGTAGATGAAGACGAAGATGCTTCTCTGTCTAAGATAAATTTTTTGTTTTGTTTTTTTGAATAAATAAGCGTATATTATAGTAAAGTAATTGATAAAGAGCAATTTGGCTCTTTAAAAAATTGTTTAAATAACTGTCAGAATAGAATGCTATTCTTTTCCTGTACTTGGTTATTTTGATTTTGTTGCTCATGTTACAAGATTAGGCTTGTTGGGTGTATGTTTATTATTGTCATTGTTTCCGTGTTCTTACCATGATCCCAGTCCCAACCTAGATCTGTACTATGTCTGAAATCAATATTGTGAGGAAAGTCTAATCGAATCAAAATTTTTGGATCAATAGTTGGTGACTGAAAATGAACAAAAGCTGACAAATGAATTTAATAACTTTTGGAAACATTCAGTTTCTTATGATTGTGATCATGTTGGTTTTGCAATATTTTATTGTATTTTTTTTGTTTACGTTTTACTATTAAAGCCAAGTTAACTCTGTGTTTCACATGGGACACAAGACTTTGCGTTCATAGTTTATGATTATTTATTTTTTATTACAAAATATCTGCATTTCATCTGGTCGATATCAGACTGTCAGTTGATATACATTTTTGGAAAAAGCTCTCTGCCACCAGACAGTGAATGTTCGGGAGATAAAAGACATTCTGTTTTATAGATTACTTGCAATCTTCTATGCTTTGTTTTTCCTGTCTAAACAGAAGGTGGCAACATAGAAAAGACCCTATCTTATTGTCATACATGATTTATCTTAAGGCATTTCCACAGTTGTAGTATATAATCAAATCACCGTTCAGAACTAACCTTAAACAATTCTGGTCTAATGCAGAGAAGTAGACTATAGTAAAACATAACCGCTCACTTTCTCAGACCTAGTAATATAAATACTAAAGGAGAATATGGAGAGGCATTCTCTTGTTGCAATGCTCAGTAGTCCACCAGCAGCAGTCGTGAAACATTTTTGGGTGTGGAATCTCATTAGGCACCAGAGGCCAAAGGTATTCAAACAAAATTGAATTGTTTATGCTTGCTAATTGAAAAGGAACCATCTGATTATTTCAAGTTTTTTAACCATTGATCTAAATAGCCTTTCTCTGCTATAATATACTATTTTTTATAATTAAAACTGTTGTATCTAATTGTGAAAAGCTGCTAGATAGTCATTGTTGAGAATAGTATTTAAATCATACTTTATGTACTGCTGAACTGAGAGCTGCTCTTCTGGTAAAATAACCTCCTGCAAGATGTTTCTTAGGCGTAGGAAATAGGGGGGGGGGGGGGAATTGGACGTTGAGCACCAGGTCAAGCAGTTCAAAGTAAGGGAGGGGTTATTTATACTTAACTTTCACTGGCCCTGCTTCATTAACTTCCTTTTTTGTCTCTGGCGAGTCGTCTTTCTCCTCCTCCCCACACTTCTCCCCCTCATAAAAGCCCTGAATGCCAATTGTCATGTTGACAGTATCCCCCGTCTACCAGTTTGATCTGCATGCAGGTCTCTTGCAACTACAGCGCTTCAGACAGAGTGAGAGGGAGGATGTGTTGTGTGTGTATGTATGTATGTGTGTGTGTGTGTGTGTGTGTGAGAGAGAGAGAGAGAGAGAGAGAAAGAGAGAGAGAGAGAGTCCTCCTTATTGATGTTAACGTGCTTTCAGATCTTTCCTTTGCGGTATAATGCATCCATTGTTTTTGTTTGGGAAACAGGGAGCACAACTGATGCAATCCGCCATATTATTATAAATAATCATATATGTTCTGTATGCCTATATGTAAAGTATGTAAACAATGAATAGATTACGGGCGAAGGGCTAGCCCATGATGTTCATATTCTGTTATCTTTAACCGTGGAGCAGTTGTTCTGCTTTGGACACATGGCGAGGCTGGGCTATTCTCTCCTTCTCTCACATCTACAGTGGACGTATCATTGTGAGGCAGAGATACGTTTTAAAGCTATTTTAGGGCCTGAAAGGAATTTGATTTTCTTATTTTGGACCATCTAGTCTTGAACTGTGTAGTGCAGCACTTTAGGTCTTCGTGGATATTATGGGATACAGATTTATTTATTTCTGTCGTGTAGTAGTTAGACGTTTCGCTGTCGCACACAGTTAACTCGAGTTTGATTCCTGAGTGGGGAGAATTTTTGATTGGCCATCTCGTGGTCTTTGTGCTTGGAAGTTGTATTCCTCTCAGCCGGGTTGGCCCTGACAGGTTGGGTCGGAAGTCCACCTCCTATATTCTC